GGTGGTGGTGTATGGACGATTGTGGTGGTGGTGGAGGGTGGTGGTGGACGTTGACGGAGGTGGTGGTGGTGGCGGTAGATGGTGGCGGTGGTGGTGGACGACGATGGTGATGGACGGTGACGGTGATGGTGGACGGTGGTAGTGGTGGACGGTGGCGGTGGACGGTTGTGGTGGTGAAGAGAAGTAGAAAAAAAAAGGAGAAGATGTTAGAAGATGTTAGAAGACATTGGTTAATGTCTTCTCCAAGAAGATGCCAGGAAGACCTTTTTGAGTGAAATGTCTTCCAAAAAACAAACAATCTGCAGAGTCCATCGTCTGCGCGCGTCTGCGCGGCGCAGACAAAAGACGCCAGAAGGTCTTCTGGCAGAAAAACAAACACCCCCTAAGGCTTCTGTGCGTGAACAACGCAATTTAGTATGTCGTGATGTGGGAAGATTTATCTTTGAGAATGCCATATCCTTCAATGTTGCAAATAGTCCATCGTACTATGCCATGATGCGTTCTGTTAGCAATTACGGAGCAGGTTTTAAGCCCCCTTCTATGCATGAACTCCGTACATGGATATTGAAAGCAGAGTACGATGCAACCAATGATATTGTGGAAGAAGTGAAAAAGACATGGCCACATACTGGAGTGACTATTATGTCTGATGGTTGGAGTGACACCAGAAATAGAGGACTTATAAATATCCTTGTCAATAATCAATTTGGGACAGTATTTTTAAGATCGGTTGATGCATCAGATAAAGTTAAAGATGCAGACTATTTGTTCCAATTGCTAGATGGTATTGTTGAAGAAATTGGGGAAGAAATAGTTGTCCGAGTTGTGACAGATAATGCGAGCGCGTACAAGGCTGTTGGGGAACTGCTAATGCAGAAAAGATCACACTTGTATTGGACTCCTTGTGCTGCACACTGTATTGATCTCATGTTGGAGAAGATTGGAGAACTACCTCAACACAAACATGCTCTGTTGAAAGCAAAGAAAGTGTGCACTTTCATCTACAATCGTGGATGGGTTTTGCAACTAATGAGGAAGGTTATCAAGAAAGATCTTGTTCGCCCAGGTATCGCAATCAGCGATGGGTATTACAACTCTTGGTTATGACTTCACAATAATACATAGTGTGTTTTAGAGTGGTTAAATAATTTTTTTCTTATTTTTTGTTCGCCCAGGTATCACAAGATTTGCAACCGCATATTTGACCTTAGAGTGCATTGGTAGCGCAAGAGAGGGCCTACAAAGAATGTTTGTTTCAAAAGAGTGGACGGAGAGCAGGTTTGCGAAGCTGGCCGAAGGCAAAGAGGTGAAGAAAATTGTCATGGATGATAGAAATTTTTGGCCGAGTGTTGCGTATGCAGTCAAAAGTACAAAGCCTTTAGTGGAGGTGTTGAGATTGGTTGATGGAGATGAACCTGCGATGGGGTTCATTTATGGGGCTATGGATTCAGCAAAAGAGAAAATTGCTGAAAATTTTGGCAATCAATACTCTACTTACAGTGAGATTTGGAAGATCATTGATGCAAAATGGGATCGTCAATTACATCGTGATTTGCATGCTGCTGCATATTACTTGAATCCGAGATTCAAATGGGAGGATGGATTCTCCACCCATTTAGAGGTGAAAGAAGGACTGTTTAGGTGTATGGAAAGGCTCATTTGGAGCAGAGCTGATTATTTGAAGGCCGACCGTCAACTGGATGAGTTTCGATACAAGCGAGGATTTTTTAGCATGACAGCAGCTCAAAGCTCATATAAGACTCGTCCACCAGGTAAATTGTGATTAAGAATATATTTACCTTTTTAAGTGTTATTTATATATGTTAATAAAATGAAATATATTGTAGTGGAATGGTGGGATCACTTTGGAGATGAAGTTCCAGAGCTTAGAGCTTTTGCTGTTAAGATTCTTGGTTTGACTTGTTCTTCTTCACCATGTGAACGTAATTGGAGCACCTTCAATCAAGTTCACACCAAGAGGAGGAACCGCCTATCAACGGTGAAGTTGAATAGTTTGGTTTTCATAATGTTCAACAAAAGATTAAAGTTTCGAAAAAGTCGATTGCAAAAGAGAGAGGATACTTTGGTTTGTGAAGCTTTGTCTTCTGACGATGAGTGGATTGTTGACGACAACACCGGAGGAGATGATGAACTTGCATTGGATGTTGATGAAATGAATAATGAATTCAGAGGTCAGTTAATGTTTATTAAGAATGAGCTTGCAATAAAGTCAATTGATTAGTTGTTTAAATTAAACTTATGTTCGTAGGGGTACATGTTACAAATGACATGCATGGAGATGATGATGCAGAGGCTGATGATGGAGATGGAATTGAGTTTTCAGTAGTCTACGCCTCTACGGGACTCTAAACAAGAACTTGGAGACTTAAATTATAGTCTCAAAATGATATCATGAATCATGATTATCTTATTGCGTTTTTATTTTGCCCCCCTTTTTTGCTTTAAATGAAAACTTATGTATTACTTAATGACTTATTTGACATAATTATGGATTATGCATTTTGTTTACCTAAAAGTTGTTTTCTTTGTTATTTTTTTTCAAGTTGATCTGAGGCTTACGCCTTGTTCCGCCTCGAGGCTTACGCCTTGGGGCATTTTCCTCTACCGCCTCGAGGCTAGTTTTCGCCTTTTAAAACCTTGATTCTACTCATTTATTTCTTAACTGTATTTACTAAAAAAAAATTAAATCTAAGTGTTCATTGTGCTCTTTGCTGTCTTAGTTTGTTTCTGCTAAAGATCGATACACACTTGCAGCTAACAATATACTGTATATCTTGGTGCAAGAAACTAATATGAACAGAGCCTGATCAAAGAGTTTCAACAAGGGTGCCAAAGAAACAAAACGGAAGCACCACAACGAAGGTGTGAAAGAAACAAAGAGGGGATGCAATATTAGTTCCTTGAAACCAATGACTTTTTTGTTTATCAATTTTGATCGAGTATTAGGATCATTTTGATGATCATATGTTTATGTTACTACAAAATTGGTTTGTGAATTTCAGGCAGAGATTTGGATTTCGAGGTGAATTCAAAAGAAACAGGTGAAGAAACCAAATCAATATTCCCCAAGATAGCGATCATCATTTAATGTCTTAAGGTGATTCTACAGGAAAGCTATCACTTCTTTACAGTACACGAATGGTATACCAAAACCCCGAATCTTGAGAAGCTATTTGTGTTTCATAAATTCTTTTAAATATTTTCATTTTCTCCAAATCATTCAATTTTAGGTGTGTTGTTTTTTTTTGAGTAAATTCCCAAAATAGTCCTTTATAATAAGTTGTTTTCCCAAATCAGTCCTCAATAAGTTTTAATTACCTACGTGGTCCTCTATAATTGAGATTTATTTCCAAGATGGTACTTCGTAAATAATGTTACTCAAATGATGATTAATTGAGGGTATTTGGGTATTTTTTATCCGCTAAATTTTGAATTAATTCTTAAAATGATCATTTATAATGAAACGCTTTCCCAAAATGGTTTTTCTAATTAAAGATGTGTATTTGATTAGAAATTTAAAATATTTTTTCTAAGTTTTAAATAATTCATGAACTATTTATAGTCAATGTATTTTTTAAATTTTACATTTAGTTGTACAGAAATAAATGTTTCGAAAATATATACTTTAAACTTGGATTATCAAAATACCAAAATTTCTCCCAATTAATCATCATTTGGATAACATTATTTACGAAGGACTATCTTGGGAATAGATCTCAATTATAGAGGACCATGTAGGTAATTAAAACTTATTGAAGATTGAATTGGGAAAACACCTTATTACAAAGGACCATTTTGGGAATTTACTCTTTTTTTCATACAACTTTTTCGAATAGATCTGAAGTACATGGCAATATGATATGTTTTTAGAAGAGGGTGTATATAAAGTTCATGCTTTACAAATAAGAACTATACTCTGTATACTTCAAATGGGGGGAGTGTACTTCGTAGTTTAGGCGGGATGAACCTAGAGAAGTGGTCCGTGTGAGTTGAGAATACAAATACCTCATTTTCAAAACAAAAAAAAAAATCTTAAAATCCTTCTCCTGAGGTGCAATGTAAACACTGTTTTGGTATCTTCTTAAAAAAAATTCTTAAAATCTCAGGAGTTCTTAGAATAAATTCTAATAATTGTGTTTATTTGGTGCAATGTAAACACTGTTTTGGTATGTTCTACGTCTTTGTCTCAGGCTCAAAGGATGCTTCTTAATTTGATCATGTTTAGAGGGCCTAATGTGTTTAGTTCCTATGGCCAAATCAGCTTTTTGGCAAAACTATTCTTTGTTTAGGGCTCATTAGGATGTCATAGAGACAAGTTAGGAATGAAGTCTTTCGTCATTGCAATTTAAATCATTTTATACAGAATTATGAGACTTTAATTTACTAGGAATCAACCTAAAAAATATAAGAAAACCAATTTCCCCATGAAAATGATTTCTACGCTGCTCTTTGCTTTAATGTTTGCGTGCTTTGCATTTTTTTACAATCATCAAAATCAGAGGTGTAGTTGTATGACACAGTTGTAAACCAGAGAAAAACTATAATAAAATGTTTAACTATAAATTCCAAGGGAATCTATATTGAATATGTTTTTAAACTCTTTTAGTTACGTTTTTTTTTATTTTCCCTTATTTTCATTTTTTGGGGTTTAGCAGTTGCTTATTTATTCACCCCTCATGTTTTGACATCAATTTGGTCTTAGATACTTTTCTAGGTTCTCCCCTTTTGATTTTTATTTGTGATTATTTAGGACATTATGCTTTAAACTTATACTAACTACTCATGCTCTAATTGATTACGCAATTTCAAAAAATGGTCATATTGATGAGTAAACACTACATATTCATATGGGTAAAGTGTTTGAGTTGATTATGAATCTGTTTTACAACATGATGACCATTTAAATCAAATTTTGTCATCTTAAAAACTAAAGGTAAAAATGAAGTTAGTTGTATAAGAAATGGACATAAGTTTCAGTTCCTTGAGAGTTTCTATAAAATGTTCTTATTGTTGATGACTTCCAGAATAGTTTTAATGATGGGGTCTTGCAGAGTGAAGCCCAATTAACTTCATTCTCCCTGGCAATAAATGCTAATATACGTGGGTTATTCAAGGGGATCGAAGCATGGTGATCTCATTTTCACGCACAACATAAAAGGTGATTTGATTTCTTAGTACTCCAATTCATTTAATTATTATTATTAAACTCTGCATAAGCGGAATAAGTGATTATTGGTCATTTTGTTCGCATAATTATGCTGCTAAAATGCTATTTTCTCCGTTTGGATACTAGAATATGTGGTCTTTTTCTTCACTCAATGGTGTATTTTGATGTTGATACAATAGTTGTGAAGAGAATTGATGATTTATTTAAATGCATCAAATTTTGTGAAGTAAAATAGCTACATATGGACGACGTTACGAAGCTTACCAATATTTATATAAAAAATTTTAGAGATACATTTTTTGTACTTCAAATATACATTTTAACAAAAGTTCTTATGTGCTGCATATATATGTTTGGAGAAACACCTTCTAAGGCAACGAGAGCACATGACCCCAGCCAATGTGAAGCATGGGGTTAAATACTAGTTTTTGTTCTATATGCTTTGAAGTGGTGTTTTTTTCTAGGAAATTTTTCAAGTCCAAGAAGAAAATTCAGAATAAAAAAAATACTCTCGCCGTCCTCAATTTGATTACAATTTAGAATTTAGAATTTGAGATAGATGAAGTATATGTTAATTGTAAACACAAAGAATTTAGAATTTTTCTAAACATTATAAAAATTAAAAAGAAAATTAAATCTATGAAAAGGAAACAAATTGTTAACAAAAGCAATAAAAAAGGAAAATAAAAACCAAATAATAAACGAAAAACAATGATCGAGTGTTCCTATGATTTAGAAAGTAAGCACTAATAACCCTTTTCATCGAAAAATGACCAAAAAATGATCATAAGAGGTGTGAGTGCAACATTTTGAAATCACAAGAACGTTAGAAATAAATTTTGACAACATAAGAGATATTGATTCAAATTTTTCAAATCACAAGAAGCACTGAAATTATTTAGATATATTATAAAAATATAATCTTTCAAAATTATATTTTAAAATAAATTTATTGATATTAAGTTTGCATCACAATTTAATGTAGTTTTTCAATAGTTTAAAATTTTCAAAAATTAATCATGAGAGTCATATTGGGAAGATTATATGGAAATGGGATGGAGTAGTAGCTAGGTTAATAATTGTGAGAGGAGGAAGGTGCTAATTTGGTTATCCACCATCCATCATGATGTTACGCGCGAAACATGTTTTCCAACCATAGTCAGGCAATTTATTAACCACGGTTACATTAAACTCGGGTCCTTTTAAAAACGTTACTTTGCACAACATAATGGGCATTCGTACACGACACGAACAGACGACAGAATTGAACCATACCAATTCACATGAGCAAAGATTAACACGTAACTCTCTCTCTCTCTCTCTCTCTCATGGCGTTCTATATTGAAGAAGAGGTGTGGAAATGTCCAAAACACCCCTCAAAGCGTCGTAGGAACGGAGTCTGCCCCGTTTGCCTCAAGGACCGCCTCGTCATTCTCTGCCCCGACTGCGCTAACGTGCGCCCCTGCTCTTGCGCCGCCGCCGCCGCCACCACTTCGTCTTCTTCATCCTCCGACGGACAGCCGAACTTATTACGACGGTCTGGATCCGCCGGGATCAACTTTCTCCGGTTCAGTTACGCTCGCTCTTTCTCCGGCCGGAAGAACCCGACGGCGACCGGGAAGAGCAAGACGCCGTCGTTTTGGTCGATCGTCTTGCCGTCGAGCAAGAGCATGAAGGAACCAGGAGTATAGGGAAAACGGTTACCGGGACGAGAAAATCGCGGAGTTCACGCGGCTAATGATGAGATCGAGATCGGGTTCGGAAATTGTAAACAGGGTGGAGGGTGGCAATTTCCCGGCCAGACGAAGATTTCCCGGCATTCCAAGCCGGCGAAAGTGGTTCAAGAGCGTTAACCGTCGACCGTCGTGTAATGTTTGACTACTGCTTTGGTTATACAGAGCATAGTTTCTTCTTTTCGGATTGGTATTTCTATACTTTTTTTTAACAAGTTACTCCGTATATAATTTAGGGGTTATAGTACTAAAATATACCGAGTATCATATATTTTTATTTCTCAATCTAGTATTATTATTCAATGTCCAGTGTACATTACTCAAGTAAATTTGAACTAATACTAGACATTGTTTGAAGTAGGGCTGTCAGCGGATAGCCGAAAATTCGATTATCGTCCAAATATGCATCCGTTTAAATAACCGTTTATCCAAATATCCGATCCGTTATATACAGTTTTTCCTAATTTTTTTAATGTTTATATTTTGTTTCTCTATTGATATTTGAAAGTATAAGAAATTTTTTATATAAAATATATGTGCAGACATATAAAAATATGCGTATATGTGTGCTATGTATATCTTTTTATCATACGAAATTATCGTATAATACCATAAATAATGAAAACAAAGAAAATAATCATCTCATAACAAATTATAGTTGATTTAATAATACTTTGATTTTAATCTATTTTAAAATTAAAGTATTTTTTAATTTGATTTTAAAAATTGGAAACGTATACGGATATATCCGATATCCGACCGATATCCGACAGATGCTGGTACGATTTTGATTTTCAGTATCCGTCAAGATCCATACCCGAATTCCATACCCGACAAAAATAAATGGATACGGATTTGGTGATGACACATCCGATCCGATTAATATCCGTTACACCTCTAGTTCAAAGTAAATGTCCATCGCCACTAGACATTGTTTCCGTTACTAAACATTATTGAAGTCCTATTTAGAAAATAAAAAATTTCATGTAATACATTAAGAAAAGATATACTCTCTTTGCCCCTAAGTATTTTGTCCACTTTTAACTTTTTCCAGTTAAAATTGGTAAAATTTGATCTTAAATTAAACAAAAATGATATTGGATATTAATACAAAAATAGTTTTATTAGATCTATTATTTGAAACATTTTCAAAATATTATTTTATCTAATCAATACTTTATATATATATATATATATATATATATATATATATATATATATATATATATATATATAATTATAGGTCAAAAGTTGAAAATGATTGCCTGAAAAAAGTTAAAACGGGACATATACTTTTGGACGGATGTAGTACATTTTAGTATTCCCTCATTCTTAAAATTTTCTTCTCAGTTCAACTTACGAGGTTTGGCTGAAATTATTCATTTCAGTTTATTTGGTTATAGGTATAAAATTTAAAAATAAAAATCATATATTTAAAAACTATTTCAAAAGTTCTACAAAATAAGAGATTACATGACTATATTATTTTATCATATAACTAATGAAAACAGGTAACGAGTGTGATTAGAGTTTGACCATATGCATAGTGGGCCTGTTTGGGAACAACGTTAGAGTTTAGAGTCAGAGTTTAGAGTTAGAGATTAGCTATTTACATTGGAGTTGGTGATTAGCTATTTGATTTTTTGTCGTTTGGCAGTTGATCACTTAAAAAAGCTAATGTATTGTAAATTACTAAAACATCCATTTCGACAGGTACTTCTAAATTTTAAACTTTTTGTTGATTTTAATATTATTTGGGACACTTTTTTACCATTGTTTTAATACTCCATCCGTCCCACAAAAAAATTCCCATTTTGAATAGTATTTAGTCAAATATTTACATGCTTTGACTAAAAATTGTGAGAAAGGTATATTGAATTATAAAATAAATTTAATATAATTATATTCATCTTAAGATCTAGTTTTGATATCTCACTTTTGTAGCATTTCTTTATTTAGATTATATTTAATTTATGGTCAAAGCGTGTAACTATTTGACCAATTTATGGTCAAAATGGAAACTTTTTTGTAGGTCGGAGGGAGTATGTTTTTTTAAGCTAGCAAAACTTTAAAATAATTTTAGGAGTGAATAGAAAAATGGATGCATTTTTGTAAATGAGGGTAAAAGCCGGTAGATCTGTTTGTGTTCATTATAAATAAGGAAAATTGTCTCAAATAATCTTATCTTTTCGCGCTCTTTCAAAAATAATTTCACTTTTCACTGTCACCGGAAATAATTTCACCTTTTCACATGTGGGCGAGTTTTGGGTCGCCGTTAAAAAACTAACGGCCACTTAGCGGAAGTTTTAGAAAATGTCTGTTTTTCGCAAATAAATGAAAGGTGTATTTTAGGAAAAATTACTTTTTACTTTTTTAATTTTAAATTTAAAATTAACTTTGTTAAAAATATAACAATACACTGTTGTTAGAGATTTGTCTAACGATTTACAAATTTTGTTATCTGTTTTGGGAAAATATAATATTGAATTATCAAAAATAATTCAGAGTTTCGATCAACAAAGAAATTACAATAAAAAAATTATAGTGATTTATAAAATTTATGGGTACCCTTTCGAAGAAAAAATATTGTGTCATTTTCACAACTTTTGAATTGCTATTTTGGGGAAAACTTTGTATTCAATTATAAAAAAAATCACAAATTGGGTAGTTCCATTTTAGAAAGAAAATAATTTTGGCAATATAATATTATCAATAAATATTTCAGTGTCTTCATTAAAAAATTGCAATACATCAGAAAATGTAGTGAGTTATAAAAATAAAAGTTCTATTTTAGAGAAACAATTGTTTTGTTAGTTTCACAACTATTGTAATGTTGTTTTACAAAAAATATTTATATAGAACTATCGAAAAATACTCATAAGTTTTGTAGTGCCATTTTTTTAAGAAATAACAATAATATAGTATCAAAAAATAATTTGAAGTGCAGCTCAAGAAAAATACAGTAAATGCAACTTACAAAAAAATGTAGATAGTTATGAAGTTAATAAATTAGCTCTATTGTGTAGAATAATTTATTTTATAATTATTACCAGATTATTGGTTATTGAAAAAAACAATTAGTTTCACTCTAAAAACACTTACATTTGGTTTTTTTTCCCAAAAAAATAATATAAAAATACATTTAAATTTAAATTTAGAAATTAAAAAACAAAAAAGGGAGAATTTACCTAAAATAATCTCACTTTTCATTTATTTGCGAAAAACATGCATTTTTTTAAAAATTTCTGTTAAGTGACCGTTAGTTTTTTTAACGGTGAATTATTTTTGAAAGAGCACGAAAAGATTAGATTATTTGAAATAATTTTTCGTATAAATAAAGATTATTTAATTTATACATCTTGTACATCTAAACAAGGGTAACTCCATAGGATTAGTGATCAGTTTCCCAACAAAGACTATCTCTATCCCTCTACTTCACTCACTTCAAATATACATCGTCCAATCACCGTTGAGTGCACTCATTCTTTCACTCAATAATATACATCGTCCTCCCCTTGCACTGCAATGATTAAAAGATTAATACTCCCTCCCTCCCTCTTATACTGTGTTCCCTTCCATAATTTTGTACAGGTTGAGCCAGGGGTCTCTTGGAAACAGCCTCCCTACTTCCGAGTAGGGACAAGGTCTGCGTACACACACTCTCCCCAGACCCTACTGTAGTGGGATTCAACTGAGTTGTTGTTGTTGTCCCTCCGTCCCCCAGTTTTTGTTCACTTTCATTTTTGCACACCATCCAATGCACTTCTTTAATCCATTTTATCTTATAATTTATATATTAAAAAATTATAGAAATTATATATTAATAATCTATATGTCAAAACAAATCAAACAAGATCACTCATTAATATATTTAGGCTTATACATTGAGAGAATTTGATGAGTCAAAGTGCTTAGATGAACAATTCTAAAAGTCAAAAGTGGACAAAAACTGGGGGACGGAGGGAGTATTTGTTAAAAAAAATTATTTATTTTTTATTTAAATTAAATTATACGGAGTATCTTTTAAATAAAAATAAATAATTTATTTTTAATATTTTCAAAATTTCTTGATTTTTTTATTTTATTTTGTTCTGTCCAATGCTTTTTTTGCTGTAATTTTTTTCATCCAAACCATTTTATTGTTTTTCTTTACACTTTTTTATATTTTTTGTTGGGATTACTTTTTTTTATATTATGTTGCGTCATATGACACATTTAAAAAAAATTGTATATTTTTTCTTTTACTTTTTTCGAGCATAATATTAAACAAAAAAACCTATTAGCATAAACTAGTTTAATTTAAAAAGTAAAAAGCATGATAACATAATCCTTAATTATAAGCATTTCATTCTAAAAATAATAACAATAAAACACTCCATAATTCGTTCAATTCAAAAGTGTTCGGGTGAAAAATATAAATGAGATATAATTTGTAATTAATTAAAACAAGTTTCATTCTAAAATTATTATAATAACAAAATATAGTTCATTCAATTTGGAAGTGTTTGGGCAAAAGATGTAAGCCAAAGTGTGAAACATTAGGTAAAAGTTAAATATGCAATATTAGTGCCCTTGGTTGGGTATATCTCGTGAAAAGATTTCTAACGACATATTATTTGCCAATAAATGATTTACGTACAAAAAATTGTAACGCCCCAAAACACAACTTAAAAGTATTATTGAATTATTATTCAATTAAATAAATTTTGTTTTGATTAAAATAAATTATTGGTGGGTCTTGGATCGAAATTGAATGTGTTGATATCCAATCTTGATGAATCTCATGGAGATAAAATTCAATATGTTAATTGTTTGCGTGATCTTGCTTGGGAACCAGAGTACAGACCCAAATCAAAAATAAATAGAGAATTGAATTTATGATGTGAACTTTTGAGATGATTTATTGAAATAAATCATGAGAACAAATAATATGAATTGAATATGACAATCTTTCGAATAAAACATTAACTGAATCAATTTTGACTCGGTCAAGTCAAACACCCAAAAATATGATGTCGGAAAAATTATTACAAATAAATATAAAAATTATTATATCGTTGGATAGAATTTGACTCTCGGATGGCAACGGTGCAAACAGATCTCAATTTGGAGAAAGTTGGACAAAAAAGTGTACCTCGACTGGGACCAAACTATTCCCAATCAAGGAGAGGCGTGTGAAGAGCTCCCGGATCGCCTCCTAGCGCACTAGCCGAACGCACAGTGCCATTAACGCAGAACTCGTGTCTTCTACCCCTCACCATTCCTATATTAGGAGTACTCAACTCCTTCATTTCTTCACCATTCATCATAATTTCTTCTTCTATTCTGTTGCTCTGAGTGTTAAGAACGCAGTGGTGCTCTCCATATAGTGAGAGGTTGCCAGAGTATGTTGATAGTAATATAATCGCCGCTGGAAGTTTCGCTTAAATTTTCCTGAAACCTCAATTTTCTCCTGAGGTAAGCCCTTGGATATATCTAGTGATTTGGATGTTCATATAGATCGCTTATACTATACGTTCATAAACGATCGTTTAGCTTAGTTTTGTGTTTGAGATGATTGAAGAACCAAGAACCATAAACCTTGAAATTGTTGTTAAAACTTCAAATTAATGATACCAAAATGATTTTTGAAATCTGGAGAATATTTCTATATAGCTTAATTGAATTTTGATGACTAAAAATGAAGTTTTCAAAAATTGGCTCGAGGTTGAATATGAAATTGTTCAAAACTGACGCAGACACGATATCGAACTACTGCTCGAACGGTACCTAGGTACTGCTGGAATGGTAGGTCGTACCGCCGGTAACAGTAGGCCAGCTACCGTCACAAGCCAATTTCCTCTGGCGGTACCTGACACCAGGCGATACCCCATATCGTCTAGACGATACTAAGGTACCGTGTACCAGGACCAAGGTACCGTGAACTTTTGAGATGATTTATTGAAATAAATCATGAGAATAAATAATATTAATTGAATATAAGAATCTTTCAAACCAAAGGTTAATTAAATTGATTTTGACTCTATCAAGTCAAACACCCAAAAATATGATGTCGGGAAAAGTATTATAAATAAATATAAAAATTATATCGTTGGATAGAATTTGACTGCCTGATTGCAACGGTGCAAATGGATCTAAATTTTGAGAAAGTTGGACCAAAAAGTGTATTCCGACTAGGACCAAATTAGTCTCGATCTGGGAGAGACGTGTGAAGAACTCCCGGATCGCCTCCTAGCGCCCTAGCTGAACGCACAGTGCCATTAACGCAGAACCCGCGGTATCTTCTTCCCTTCACCATTCTTATATAAGGAGTACGCAAATCCTTCATTTCTTCACCAATCTTCATAATTGCTACTCATATTCTATTGCTCTGAGTGTGAAGAATGCAGTGGTGCTCTCCATATAGTGAGGGGCTAAGGACCAAAATAGGAGTAAAATATTGACTATATATCAAAATAGGAATAGAAAGATAAAATCCCAAAATAGGAGTGGAGCCATCGCATCCACCAACGCACTCATCTTCGCCGACAATAAATTTAAAACCACATCTAACTTTGGATGAAATGATCGAGTGATTAGCAGTAAGTAGAAGAGACAATTAGTTCACAGAATGAGGAGAGGTTTGAATTATTTTTTAGACAATAAAAATAACGACTGAGAACATTCCAGGCGAGGGGTTCTATAAGCTTCTACTCTTCAATTGGCTAAGGACCAAAATAGAAGCAAACCATTGACTATACACCAAATAAAATAGGAGTAGAAAGATTTGCAACCGCAACAAAAAGCCCACTGCGTTTGTACTGCATGCCACTGTCACTTGAATCTCCGCTGCTGCCTTACTCTGCCCACACGGGGATGATTTGCAACCGCAACAAAAAGCCAACATTATTGTTGCCCTTTATTTTTCACCAACATCAAAATCACCACCATCACACTCTGCACCATTGCTGAGACCATTATCTCACTCTGCATAGTCTCCGATGCAGTGCCACATTAACCGCAACAAAGGTATAATCCCAGACATGGCCACATATAATGTCACACATGGTTATGCATTATGCCACAGATTGTCATATAATATCACATATGGTAATACACAATGCCACATATTACCATATATAATGTCAATGTTACAAATTCAAAATGTCAAATAAATGAATAATATCAAACTCAACTGCTGACCTGCAATAATACTACCGATGACCATCATCCATCTCACGGCTCCCATTATGGCAGCCAAATGACCAACCGTCATTGACAACGGTTGGCCCTCATTTTCCGGCACCAAATCACCATCCAAAAGCATCCAAACGCAGCTCAAGGTAAAGAAAAACTCAATTAATATGTCAATAGGGAACCCAAATACTTCTGAAATCTAATACTTAAGAAAGGGAGATAGGGCGACATGGCAGATCTGTGTGCGGTGGCACGACGAACTGAGATGTTGCAGGCGACAGTGGTGGCGATGGTGCTGCATGAGCCGGAAATTGTTATTGATCAAGGGAAGGGAATCGGAAGAAGGGGAATTAGCGGAAGGGATGAAGGGAATCGGCAATTTTTTTCCCTTTCTTGATTGAGCCGTGTGCATGTGACGAGAGTTTGGAGGTAGCGTCTCCAGATTTCTTTTACAAATACAATAAGAAATAACAGAAAATATCAAACTAATAAATTTTACCTTTAACGTTTAATAATTAAAATAACATAATTTAATGAAATTATTATTAATTATAAAAATGTTAAAAATTTATAGCAGTAGAAAATATTGAAGTTAATACACATCGCACTAGTAGATGACTAATTTTTTTAAACACAATAAGAAACAACAAAAAACTATGGAGTAATAAATTTTCCTCAAACATTCAAATGATTCTAAATAACACAATTATGAAGTAGAAAGCATTATTATTAATTATATACTCCCTCTGTCCAGGAATAAGCTTCCTAGTTTGACTTTTCCTCATTTTTAGTGGAGGCTTGAATAAGGCATGAAATGCCTAAATTACCCTCCCCTTCCTTTCCCAACCCTGCCACCATTGAGAACCCACCACAGCCTCCACCGTAGCCCCTCCCCTCCTCGCCACCAGCCCAGCCATTGTCGTCAGCTCCACCACCGATCCATTCTCCGACCATCTCCACCATCCCCCTCCACCATAATTGCTCCACTCTCACCATCACCAACATAGCCCTACCATTAGATCTCAAAGAAATAAAGAATTATGAGAAAGAAATTGAAAGAATTTGGGATGGGTATGGACAACTGGATTGGGTAATAAGACACTTGAGTTGAACCACATTAAAAAATTGAATCCAATCGATTAGTTAGTTAACTCAAGAACTTATATACCAATTATTTTTCTCACACTTTCCCGATGTGGGATACTCTTAACACTCCCCCTCAAGTGGACAACCTGGCCATTTTGAATCTAACCGGTTGACCACTTGCAAATGAACTCCCATTCCCTTGACTTTTTTTTTGAGCGCCAACACCTAAAGGACCACGAGCCGCTGGGTATGGACTTCCAGACGAGCAATCGTGTTAAACGGGCCACAGGCCGTTGGATACAAACTCCACACGGACAACTGGGCTAAAGACAAACGGGCCGCTAGGAATGAACGTCTAGACGGACACTTTGACAAACGAGGTGGGCCAAAACCTGCTCTGATACCATGAAAGAATTTGGGATGGGTATGGACAACTGGATTGGGTAATAAGACACTTGAGTTGAACCACATTAAAAGATTGAATCCAATCGATTAGTTAGTTAACTCAAGAACTTATATACCGATTATTTTTCTCACACTTTTCCGATGTGGGATACTCTTAACAGAAATTAGAAAGAGATTAGAAGAAGATTGCAGATCTAGGCTTACCACGGACGCATCCTCACCATCGCTGCCCCCTACCATCGTCGTCGCCACCATTGCTTCCGCCTCCATCGCTGCCAAGCTCAGATCTGGAAGAGAGATAAGAGAAATAAGAGGAGATAAAGAAGGGAAAAGATGAAGGGGAAAAGTACGTGAAGAAGAGGAGATGACGAAGGAAGAGAGAGGAGGAGAAAGAAGAAGAAGAAAAAAGAAAAGAAAATTGAGTGGAGAAGAGGAGAGGAGGATGAGATGACGGAGGAAGAGAGGAGGAGAAAGAAAGGAATGAAAAAAGAAGAAAAAGTGGAAGAGGGGAGAGAGTGAGAGACGGCAGCAGGAAAAAGAAAAGAGGAGGTAATTTAGGTAAAAGTGGTATAAAATAGTAGAATAAGAGATTATTTTTCAGACAAAAGAAAAGGTAGAGTAGGAAGTTTATTTCCGAACGGAAGGAGTAAAAAATTATTGTCAATACCAAATACCGATTTTAAAAAAATTCAGTGGTGTTGACACCACCGGACCCCTAGGTCTGCCCCTTTTTACTACTCCGTACTACTATACGGAGTACATATAAAATCTTTTTTAAATATTTTTGAACCAATAGAAAATAAATTCAATCCTCCAAAATGTAGAACAAAAATTACAAACACAACACAAACAAACACAAACAACACTATAGAAACAACATGAGAAAATTAAATTACAGTCACCAAACCAGGCTACCAAAGAAGCTCATATCATCTACCTAGCTATGTCTGGTCTTGTTATTATAAAAGTGTTGACAAATACAGAGTATACTTTTTTTATAGTATAAGAAATAGGACAAAAGGGAACGGAACAGTATATATACCCTTATGTGGTCTCGCTAATGTACGGTTTAGATTGGGGATAGGACGGGTTCGAGACAAAAAATAATATCCCTAATATAATGATACAATATCAAAACGGTATCGAGTTGGGCCAACGGGAACGAGTTTTTTCCTAAATAGGACTTAAACATATCACTTTAATTTTTTCAAAATAGGACCAGTCCTATCTATTTTAACGTTTGACAATGTAAAATTCTAAAATAACCTGCCCTTGAGAAAATAACTTATTACATAATTCAAGTAAAATAAGACATTATTAAAAACAACTTGAATAATCATTGAAGTAATCATTGTCTAACACTTATTGTTAAAGATCACATTCGTAGAGTTATTCGTATAATTAGTTATTATCCAATACTTTTTTGCTAATGAAGGCATATAATATGACAGATCATATGAAATTTTGTACCATAAAGATAATAAAACATACTTAGTCCTATTCAGGGAAATGTAGTACCTTTTACTCCCATATGGTCAAATATTTCAATGGATATTATTCCCACCCCTGACTCCCTGAGTATATTGAGGGTAATATAACTAAATAAACTTTCATTATTGATGTGGAAATATAGGTATCAATACACAGTGGGAAATACATTTGCAGCCATGCATTGTATGCTGCATGCATCAGCTTAATTATGCTTCATAAAGCCATGCCATATCATCTTCTTTCATACCCGTTACCGGAGTATATATATATATATATATATATATATATATATATATATATATATATATATATATATATATATATATATATATATATATATATATATATATATATATATATATATATATATATATATATATATATAGGGTATATCATTGTTATTTAACATTATTCTATATGGGTATTTAAGAAAATTATGTACTCCGCATTACAGTAATACAGTACTAATTATTGCTTTGGGCTTTCATGGCGAGTAGCCACCATGTCCGCCGCCTTCACCGCCTCCCGCACCGCCACCATATCCACCTCCGTGTTCACCTCCTCCGCCATACCCACCACCTCCACCTGATCCTCCTCCTCCTCCACCGCCACCGCTATGTCCACCCCAAGCACCACCGCCACTTCCTCCTCCACTCCCATAACCACTTCCTCCACCATGTGCTCCACCACCGCCACCTTCACCACCGCCGCTTCCTCCGCCTCCACCGCCGCCACCTCCTTCTCCAATGCCTCCACTCCCATACCCACTTCCCGCTCCTTCACCCCCACCATATCCGCCACCATATGCTCCACCTTGAGAAGAACCGC